GGAACAGACGGAGAAGTAGATAGACAAATAAGCGGATACGGATAGGTGAGGAGACTTTTTAGTAACTTCTGGATTAAAAAATTTTGGGACGAAGAAATTTCACTAACACCGGTCTGGCTTTTGAAGAAGAAAAAAGGGAAAAAGCCTTTTACAGTAGTCATTCTGTCAAAATTTCTTTTTTAATATTCTTCATACATTGTAGAAAGTTGATAATTGGCACAATTCTTTTGATGACAAAAAATTTATAACAGTCAAAAGTTTATCCTTTACAAAACTTTGTCTTTTCTAAGCCGCTTTAATACACTTAAAATGTTGACAAAGAATTATTTATCTTCTAACGAAGCCATTACTTTTACAGCTGTCTTTTATGCAACCCCAAAAAGGAGCACTTTAATAGTTGCAAAGGAACCATTCAAACAAAAAACTTTATTTTCATTATTAAATCGGATATTTCAGCTACTACCTTTTGCGATCTGTATATACCGAAGTATATTATATATGTGTATATTGGTAACATAACAGTTAATTGCTAATGAGTTGCACATATGGAGAATTTAGGTAGATATTTTTGCTTAGCAAATGACAGTCATTGTCTTTGAGAAAGTGAAAATTGAAACTTTTGTAGCTGAAGTTGGATCGTTTGAAAGTAGGATTGAGAAAAACCAAATTGAATGAGTTTAAGGAAAGCTGAAGCAATTTTAGGAAATTAATTCTGATGTATCAATTAAATTGGTGGTTTTTTGGTCTTTGATTTATTTTGTTGTTTTTAAGTTATCTTTAGCTTAGATATGAATGATGGATGGACGTGCTGTTGAGTGGTGGTCGCTGTAACGTGTCTTCCAAGAAGGAAACAAATTTAATTTTTATTTATTTATTTATTCGTTTATTTATTTACTTGCTTCTTTTTTAAATCTAAAACAAGGAAGGCTTACTGTCATTTGTAGATGCTAATGCTGTAACAGCATTTCGGCATCTGAGTGAGGAAAAAAGAAGATGAAAAAAAATTTTAAGCATATTAAAAGTAACAATGATTAAATGTTCCACTTAACCACTGTTTAGAACAGATTTATTGTTTTTTCTGTTATTGTTATTGTTTTGCTTTTACTTTTCACCACCGGTCATTATTTTTATGTTACATCGGTTTTTGAAAAGCTTTTTTTTTTGTGCCGTTAAGCTTGTTTAGGAAAAGTGTTAACATAAAGGGCTTAAAATCTATCTATCCTTCACCTATCTTTCGACTTATCTGTACCAATTTGTTAGCTTATGTTATAAGAATGTTTTGTTGATGTTATCGTCTCGTACAAGTCAGTCGGTATCAGTCAGTAACCAGTGCAGTACAATCTTATAATCCTCTGTCATACCCTTTTAGGTTTTGCTATTTATACGCACCTTTTTTTTTTTTAAAATTTTATCTCATTTTTAGTTGGTAAATTACTTCAACTAAATTTGAACTTTCTTCGCCACAGTTCTCATAGTCATTGGCGTTATTCATCGTTGTGGCTGTCGTCATTATTTCAGTGAAATTTACCCGATAATTCTAGATTACAGTTGGCTACTGAAAACTATAACAAATCGTTATGCCTCGTTCAAATACAGCTATTGATATGCATCTTTATGCAACCGGTAATCGCTATTAGTAAATTGGTTTCTTTTTTAATTTACATATTCTTTTCTGTTTTTTACTGCTTAAAAAGCTTATTTTTAATGAGTTTGGGTGTAATAAAAACAAAGTGAAAACCTTCCTAGTTTGATTTATGTAGTAAGTTTAAGTTGTTGTTTTTGTTGTTGACAGAGGAAACAGTTAAGTGAGAATTGGTTGGACCGAGGTAAAGAAGATTTGTTTTACTTTATTATAATAACATTTTGGTTCGGTTTGACTATTTGAAACTATTTGTTTGTTTCATTGTTTTTGAAAAAAAAAAAAAGAAAAAATAAAAAAGATAGTTATGTTTTCTGTAATAAAATAAGAAGATGTTGAACAGTTTGATATTTTTATTGTTTGGGATAACTTTGGAAGTGTTTAAGAACTGGTTTCCAGAACTTTTTTGTTTTCTTTTGAAGTATCCGAATATTGAAAAGCTTTTGACAACGGTATCTGTTATTATTATAATTATTATTATTGTTATTGCTGTTATTGTTAGTATTATTATTACTGTTACTATTATTTCTGCTGCTGGTATTCTTGGATTCTTTTCTTTTTCTCTTGCCATATCCACTTTTCTGGATGACCGGTATTCAGCTGTACTTAGAGTGAGGAGATGAAAAAGACTCAGGGAGGGAGGAATAAAAAGGAGTCTCAGTTCTCAGACATTTTTTCGTTTGTCGAAAGAAGAATAAGAAGCATTATGGTGATGAAAATTGAAGGGAGAAGAAGAAGAAGGAGGAGGTGAAAAAAGTGAAGTTGTTCTTGGCTTTATTCATAGTTTTTCTGGTTTTGTACTTCAGCTTCATTTTTCAATTTTTTGTCAAACACAAAATTAGCAAGTTGTAGTGTATATTTTGGATTCCTGATTGAGGCTTTTGAACAGAAAACAAAATCTGCTGGCTTTATTTATTTATTTTTTTCGTTTGGCACACGAAATAAATAGTGGGTTATTTTTTATACTTTTACAGTGGTCGCAAAAAGTTAACATTGCTTGTCGTCTAGTAATGTTTAATAAATAAAAACTGGAAAATTTGCATTTGTATTCTTCTTTTTTATTTTTTGGAAAGCAATAAGAACAGAAATTGAAAATGGAATTTAGTTTATGAAATAAAAAATTACAAATATTTATAACTCTTTGTTGCTGAACTTTCTTATAGATATGGGATACTAAACTTTTATTGTTTTTACAGTTGTTATCGTTTCCGAACTAAAAAAAGCAATATTTTGGCTTTCCTTTTTTTGGCATTATAAATAAAAGTAATTTTCTGCTCAACTGAAAAATGATTCTTGTGGATGATTTAGATACTATTTAAGTTTGGTTAAATAGATACTAATAAATTCATCAGAAATCTTTTGAACTATTACTAAGAACATTTTGCTAACGTCGTTGACAGAACTGATCATAAAGTTTGTAGATCAGTTAAGATTTGTTTGTGATATTTTTGGGGAGGGAAAAAGACAGTGTAATTTGTTTCTAAATTATTATATTTTTTGTATTATTATAATTGAAAGCTCTTTGACGGTTTAATCTTTCTTTCATCTTCAAAAAAAAAAAAAATAAAAATAAAACGATATCTGCTTGAAAATAAAAGTTAAGACAAGAATATTTTAAAAAAAAGATTCATTTTTGCAAAGAATTTAGTGCTTTCTCAAAACTATCTTTGACTGTGAGTATATGTATACTTTTGTGCAATGAAGTGCTAAAAACTGCCTTAAAAGGTAAAAGGGAGCATCATTGACATCTGACGGAACAATTTGTTTGTTCTTTCGCATCTTTTAGTCTCAGACAGTTTCTCACTTTGATTTACCAGCGGAATAGTTTCTGGAATTAGAAAATGTTTTTTTTTTTTTTTGGAGGGAGGGGCACC